TGATATAATTAACCAGAACGATAATGGTGAAAGTATGGATGCTGAAGCAGTGAAGCAAGCAGTGGCAGAAGCAATCAGGACCTGGAGTGATAGACATGATCCAAAAGGCTAGCTAGATCAGATCAAGTATTCATGATTCTCTCTATATATATTTTTATACATTTGTTTTACCTAAAAAAGGGATCGATCTTAGTTAAAGATATAATCAAGGAAAAATCAATTGTATGTCTCTCTAATTAATCAAATTTCTAGCTAAAGTAATTTCTTTGGCATCAAATTATATACTCATCACTAATTTGTGAAAACTTGTGCAGCTTAATCCAAACGAGCATTCAAAAGGACACTCATCTGTCGTTTCTTAAAATAAATTACTTTTTTTTTCTTGTCTCGATCTTAAGGAATATTTTCCACATCAATTTGAGGATCCTAGACTCCGCAGTACCAATGAAACCATAGCTTCCACAATATATAGCAACGATGGATTATAGATAAATAGGATAAAGAAATTAAAATATGAGTAAATGTGAACAATTTAAATACCGAAGCAAAAAAATTCCTTAATTATCTATGCGAGAAGACTTGGGTTAGATCCTCTACCTAACGGAAAAACCCTTACACAAGTGGGACGCGATATAATTGGTAGCAAATTCGTGGAGGGTTTTGTCGAGAGGCACTTTTGAGAGCTCGGGAATTTCAATAGCGTTCGAAGCGTTTATAGACAACATAAGCTGGTTCCTACACAAGTCCCGTAAATAAGGAATCTCATATTTGTCCGCTGCACGGTATAACGACATTGCATGTTTCCTCAACATCTCGAAAGGCATAGAGTCTCCGGCGTAACAAAACTCGACAAATACCTCTAACTCGACAAAACTAGGCGTTTAAGATCGGAGATAGTAATTGTCTCATTCACGGTCCAAGTCTTGATTTCGTCTGATTCAAACATACTCTTAAACACCTTTGATCTCGCTGCCTATAAAGTATCATCAAATTAATTAGGCAGACGATTTAATAGGGACTAATTAGTATTAAGATATTCACATACCAAAATAATTTTGTGGGCTGCGATAGGATCATTATGATCAGCATTGTTGTGGCCGGGCTTTAGCCATACAACGACTTTCCATTGTTCTTTGAAGACATTCACTAGTCCACGAGTGAAAAGTTCTACGCTTGTTTGCCTTGACATAGCCATTAAAGACAAACAATCAACGAAAAATCTTGGATTTATGTAATAGGGTCGAGGTTATATTTTACAAGGATTTTAAAACAAGGAATCCTAATAGGAATACGAAACTACAAGTAGAAACAAACTAGGATATTTATTGGTTTTTAGTAATATGTTTACTGCTGATGGGTAATCTGAGAATCTAATTTGTTTGCTTATACTTTAACCAAAAAAAAAAAAA